CTTGTAATCCCCTTTCCCTATTTTACCCACCCCCCGACCCCTGCCCCCTTTGGTAACCAACAATTTGTTTCTTGTATCTACAAGTCTGTTTCTATTTTGTTTTGTTTGTCTTGCTTTTTAGATTCCACATATAAGTGAAATGATATGATACTTGTTTCTCTGTCTGACTTTCATTTAGCATAATGCCCTCTAGTTCCTTCCAAGTTGTTGCAAATGGAAAGATATTCATTTCTAATGGCTGAATAATATTCTATTGTGTATATATAGCACATTTTCTTTATCCATTCAGCTATTGATGGACACTTAGATTGTTTCTATATCTTGGCTATTGTAAATAATGCTTCAGTGAACAGAGGGATGCATAGATCTCTTTGAATTGATGTTTTCATTTTTTTTTTCAGATAAATAACCTGAAGTGGAATTGCTGGATTATATGGTATTTCTATATTTAATTTTTTAAGGAGCCTCCATACTGTTTTCATTCCCAACAGTGCGCAAGGGTTCCCTTTTCTCCACATTCTCACCAGCACTTGTTATTTTTTGTGTTTTTGATAATAACCAATTTGACAGGGTGAGGTAATACTCATTGTGGTTTTGATTTGCACTTCTCTGATCATTAATGATGTTAAACATCGTTCCATATGTCTGTTGGCCATATGTATGTCTTCTTTGGAAAAACATCTATTTAAGTCCACTGCTCATGTTTCAATATTTTTTTTATATGAAGCTGCATGAGTTCATTATATATTTTGGATATTAACCTCTTTTTTTTTTTAAAGATTTTATTTATTTATTTGACAGAGAGAGACACAGCGAGAGAGGGAACACAAGCAGGGGGAGTGCGAGAGGGAGAAGTAGGCTTCCCACTGAGCAGGGAGCCCAATGCGCGGCTCGATCCCATGACCCTGGCATCATGACCTGAGCCAAAGGCAGATGCTTAACAACGGAGCCACCCAGGCACCCCTTGGATATTAACCTCTTCTCAGATATATAATTTGCAAATATCTTCTCATTCAGTAGGTTGTCTTTCTGTTTTGTTGATGGTTTTCTTTGCTGTGCAAAAGTTTTTTTAGTTTGATAAAATAAATATAATTGTTTATTTTAGTTGTTGTTGCTCTTGCCTGACAGACTGGTCCACAAAGTATTGCTAAGAACAATGTCACAGAGCTTACTGCCTATCTTTTCTTTTAGGAGTTTTATGGTTTCAGATGTTATATTTAGGTCGTTAATCCATTTTTAATTTATTTTTGTGTATGGTATAAGATAGTGGTCCAGGTTCATTCTTTTGCATGTAGCTGTCCAGTTTTCCTGACACCATTTATGGAAGAGACTGTCTTTTCCTCATTGTATATTATCTCTTTTGCCATAGATTAATTGACCATGTAAGTGTGGATTTATTTCTGTTTCTATTTTATTTCTATTCTAATTCATTGATCTATATGTCTGTTTTTGTGCCAGTACCATGCTGTTTTGATTACTGTTGTATACTTTGTAGTATACTTTGAAATCAGAGAGTATGATTGATTCTTCCACTTTGTTGTTTTTTCTCAGGATTGCTTTGACTTTTGGGGATCTTTTGTGGTTCTTTACAAATTTTAGGATTTCTTATTCTAGTTTTGTGAAAAACACCGTTGGTATTTTGATGGGGATTGCACTGAATCTGTAGATTGCTTTGGGTAGTATGGACATTTTAATAATATTAATTCTTCCAATCCATGAGCATGGTATACCTTTCCATTTATTTTTTTCTTCTTCAGTTTCTCTCATCAGTGTCTTGAAGTTTTGAGAGTACAGGTCTTCTACCTCCCTGGCTATATTTATTCCTAGGTATTTTATTATTTTTGATGCAATTGTAAATGGGATTGTTTTCTTAATTTTTTTCTTTCTGATAGCTGGTTGTTAGTGTATAGAAATACAACCAATTCCTGCATGTTAATTTTGTATCCTGCAACTTTACCAAATTCATTTATTAGTTCTAATAGCTTTTTGGTGGAGTCTTTAGAGTTTTCTATATGTAGTATCATGTCATCTGCAAATAGTGACAGTTTTACTTCTTCCTTTCCAATTTAGATGCTTTTATTTCTATATCTTGTCTAATTTCTGTGACTAAGACTTCCAATACTATGTTGAATTAAAGTGGCAAGAGTGAGCATTCTTGTCTTTTTCCTGAACTTAAAGGGAAAACTCTCAGCTTTTCACTAGAACTGTTTTAAGTACACTTTTTTTTTTCTCTCTTTAACCTTCTATTTTATACTCCTCACAGGACCTTAAGTACTTTTAGAAAAGGGCCAATTATAACATTCTTCCCTGTCATATAGTAGCGTGTCTCCTTTGATTTTATGAGCATGTCCTGGTAGGAAACAGGTGGCCCATTTAAATGGGGTAACTGGGGAAAATTTAATGAAGGAGTTATTTACAAAAGACTGGGAAGGGTTACTTAAGGTCACAGGGGATGGTTCAGTACGTGGACTAGTGACATTTAGGATACTGAAATTTGATAGAGGTAGGAACAATTAGTAGGACTATAACTGTAGGAAAGGGCCATTCCATAGAAACCATGGCTTTTGGTTGAGGTAAAGAACAAGCTGACGTGATCCAGAAGATGAAATCTTGTGGAATAAATTCCCTGATCTTTCTCTTCTCTTATCATCTTTTCTCCTTGTATTGTGTGCCCCATCCTTCTGTTGGCCAAACCCAACCAGAAGCCAATGGACAAGAGAGTCACTGATACACTCCTATGATTAGTTCCCCAAGTAGACAGTAGATTAAATATGGGTAAAAAAAAAAAAAAAAGCAAAGCAGGGGAATAGATCTGTAAGTAGATGGAAAAGATCCTATACATCTGCTTAACTTAGTCAAGATCATGAAATGTATAAGTATATTGGTTTCCTCTTCTTCCCGTAATCTCATTAAAATAATAGAAATGAATTATAAAAGCCCTAATTCTTTGTTAAAAAAATAGAGAGGACCATCAGTGGATTAGAGCTCTAAACTCATTTATGAAAAACTTAATAGACAAGACTGAGGAGTAGAGAAAGTGATGATGCAGCACAGGAAGCTATGACCTAACTTATCAGGAATGTGGACTGCAAGAGAAGAGGAAGCTCATCTACCCACAGAGATTCTTTAGAACGGTGGTGGCTGGTCTGATAGAGGGCAGGAATGAGAAGTGGGACTGGAAAAAAATGGGTTATTTAAAGCCTTTAAATAACCATTAGAGGCATAAAAATAGTGATACAATTATAAAAAATTGAAAGGTGGTGCAAAGTAAACTCCCATCAGTTATAGCAGAAAGTCAATAAATGATGTCTAAAATTAATGAATCAAGAAGCAATGACATAAGCTTATTATTTATAAATTTGGAGATAATCACAGAAGAACTAAGAGTTCAAAGTGTTCTGGAAGGAAGACAGGGAATTGGTTGTGGGTCAGTTGTTTCTCACTGTAAGTCTTTGTACTAAAGATTTTTTTAAAAAACATGTGAATATATAATTTTAATGAAAGCTCTTTTTTTCCCCTTTTGTCACACTCCACTTAGTTTGCTGGCTTTCTAGAAATTTTCTTCTTAATATAGTTAGATCCATTATCTGTCCTGAGCCTACCAATTAATTCCATGTTCTCCTATACCACCCCTTCTCTTCGTTCTTTGCAACCCGCCCTCAACATGTGCACACTCACAAGCCAAATGCACACATTTTCCATCTGAATGCAGCTACCTGTCTTACTCTATGAATTCCATGCACCCATTTATGTCTCAGCAATGCCTTTTCTCAGACTTTCCTTGGCCCAAAATGGCTTCAGCCTTTTTTCTTTTTCTATTAGGATTTCAAGTCCCAGAATAAAATCTGCCTCCTCCCGGAGCTGTCTGATTTCCAGAGACAAAAATGATTACTCTTTCTTCTCTACTCTCCTAACACTGCACACTGTTGATACTTCTCGCTCTACTGATGTCCTAAACTTGGTGTATCTCTATCTGCCTCCTTTTCTTTCTGTTTAATTGTAACTTCAAGAATTTGTATCTTTATATCTAGTGCAAGTTTTGCACATGGTAATTGAAATAATTACTAGCCACTGTAATGTAATTGATTTTTATTGTTGTTATTGATTTAAGAGGAATCTAAAGATTATGGGGTGAGTGCCCCAGCACATTAAAGTGAACATCGGTTGTCTTTATTGAGATGCCTATTAATACTTTTCCTTTTCAGCCAAACCAGAAAGTAGACAATATTTTGTTCTGTCACAATTTTAGTGCCTTTTCCCTAAATTCCAATTATATACATATTGTCTCAGGTTATGAGGACTAAGAAATGTAAGAAACCAATATCCATAAATAAATAAATTACTATGTATTAATTTTAATGAGTGTTCGCATTTTTGAAAGTTACCCACAGAGGGAAGTGCCTTGCTGGAGGGAATGAATTGCTCATATAAAACTCTGGGCCCTTGAGCTATTGTTTTGAGATCAAAGAGAGTTTCTGGGGTTCCTCAGATTATGCCATGTAACTCTTATGCCATAGGTAATATACATTCTGATTAATTTAGAGCGTAGTAAAACAGTTGGAAAACGAACTTTGCATGTAAGAACAAATAGACTTGAAATCACTATTATTGACTGTTAACTATCTATCACATAGGAGTAAGACTGAGTATAACATGAAGTATTAACCCCTGCTCTTTGCTTGTTATTCTCATTCCCTAAGTAGTCTTACCACACGTTCTTACTTCCCTCCCTCCCTTCTTCCTTCCCTCCCTCTCTCCCTCCCTCCCTTCTTCCTTCCTTCCCTCCCTCTCTCTCTCCCTTCCTTCCTTCTCTCCCTCCGTCTGTCCCTCCTTTTCTTCCTTCCGCCCTTCCTCCTTTCCTTCCTTCCTCTCTCCCTCCCTCCTTCCCTCCCTTCCTTCCATCCTTCCATCCTTCCTTCCTTCCTTCCTTTGACTAACCCTGGATTTTTCCCTGTATCCACATAGAAGGGCACTACAATTTTATTTTTCCTTTACTTCAGGAAATGCCACAGTAAAACAGTCTCGATACAGGATTATCATCCAGGAAGCAGCCAACGGAGGCCAAGAATGCCCAGATACCTTATTTGAAGAGCGAGAGTGTGAAGATATTTCATTGTGCCCCATATATCGGTAATTAGTTACCTTTTGAAATAATCATTAGATTTTAGTATAAATCATGACCTATTTTCTTTATATAGTTTATAAGTTTTAGTGAGAAGTAAGAAGAGATAATGTTTATCTTTAATAGCTCAATATTTTCCTCTCTTATTTTGAATATATTTTGAGGGAGTAAAAAATATGAAACTCTAGTTAACAGAACAAAAGAAACAAACATGTTTTGATTTTAAGTGAGATGCTGGAGTTCTGCCACCCAGGCAATCAATTTTAAGGATTAAGTTCCAAAAATATTCAGGATAAAGTCTTTACCTGGAAAACAAACACACACATAAGTTACCTCATTCTATCATTTTCATCCTAAAGCCTTTAATCAAGAACTAAGAACAAATATGTACTTTTAAAATAATTATTTACTTTCATTAAAAAAAATTGGTTTTTTTTTTTTTTAAGATTTTATTTATTTGAGAGAGAATGAGATAGAGAGAGAGAGCATGAGAGGGGGGAGGGTCAGAGGGAGAAGCAGACTCCCCGCCCAGCAAGGAGCCCGATGCGGGACTCGATCCCGGGACTCCAGGATCATGACCCGAGCCGAAGGCAGTCGCCCAACCAACTGAGCCACCCAGGCGCCCTAAAAAAAATTGGTTCTTAAGTTTTGTACACATTTTAAGAAACCATCCTCTTAGAAAAAGAAGTTTAACCTACAGATAAAATATACATTAAAAAAAAGGGAAAATGACTTTTAAAGTATTTATGGTACTTACATGTTCCCTCTTGACAAATTGGTGATTTTTATTTATAAAAGCAATGCCTGAGATTTGTGTGTTTAGTCATTAATGTCCATTCTTTTAATGTTGGATTGAAGCTTTGCTTTAGAGTACATCTGGATTAAATCCATTCACTGTTGAGTTTTACTGATTTGTGAAAAAAAAATTGTCTTAAAGTTCATATAGTTAGCACACTTAAAAATGCCTTTAGCAAAAATATCTAGTGTTTCTCCTGATTATTTGAAAAACTATATCTTAAAGCTATGGAATTCAAGGGCTAATTTGTTTGGGAAAATACAGGTTATTTTTCTTTTTCCTTCTTTCTCTCTCTCTTTTTTTTTTAAAGAAGACTCCTCACATTAGATAAAATTAGAGTGTCATTGAAGAGTCTGCATTACTATCAATTTTATAATCCTTTATTCTCATTGTTTCTATCTAATGGCCATTTTAAGGAGGGTGGGAATAAATACTGGGAACATGCCCAGACTACCAGTGTTCCTTCATTAACCACAAGGCTGCTGTGGAAACACTGTCAATATTCATCCCTTTGTACCATATATAAATATTGAAACTTCTGAGCTGAGCAAAAGAGCTCTTGGGGCCAATTGAAAAAATTAGCCAAATCAAATGTCATTAGACATTTTTATGAACCCAGGGCTTTTATAATCAGAGAAAATCCTAGATGTTATTAGTGAGATTTTTCCTCTCTCTTGTCCCCTTTCTTTACTCTCTGGTTGCACTTCATTTTAGCCACTCATGTTTGAACTCATTTCCATCATTGACCTCCTGCCATTTTCCCCAGAAACCAGTTTTGGTGTGTCTGGATTGGATCATTGTTATCGTTTCTCTTGATGCCTAGTTTAACATGTATACAAGTTATCAGCATGATTCTCTGCTCCTCAGTAAAACACCCTTGAATTTTGAGCAACATGATTCCAATTTTTGCATCCCTCCTCATTGGTATGTTAGAGAGGCAAGCTAATATAGGACCTTTATCATTATCTTCTGAATCTTCTTTTTGACTCCATTAAGGTGATATATTCACATGCTTACCAAGTTAAAAAAGAATCAAAATGTCTGTAGAAATTTCTCTGTGAATCTGAGCCTCTCCCAACACATTAAGTTAATAAGCAAAAGGGAAGACAGCATGGTGATGTATCCTTACATAGAATTGACCATGGAGTCAAGGGTCTGTAGCTGAACATTCAGGGTTTTAGGAGGTACAACTGGCCTGCTAAGCTGTGCAATCTCAGACATTTCACTTAACCTCTCTGAGCCCAAGTTTATCATTCCAAAACTGACTTTAACTAGAGTTCTGAAATTCTTTCTATTTCACTTTATGCAGTACACTTACACTAAACTAGACTGAACTCCATAGTCTCATTTTGATCTAGAAAGCCTCAGTAAACTTAAGGAATCTGAAGGAATGCTACATAACTGTTGAAAAATTGGACAAAAACCCTTTGCCATTTCAGTTTCTGTGTTTTGGAATTATACTAAATGAATCTATGCATGTGCAAAGTAAATTTACAATTATTTAAAATTAAGGGGTGATTTCTTTAAATGATAAGTTTTTGTTTAGCTGTTTCTTGATTTTTCTACAATTGCTCAACTATTCCCAGTATGGAGGCCACTTGAGTGAGGTCAATGATTATATTATATGCAATATTATTGACCAGTTTTGCAAGATGAAAAAATTCTAGAGATCTGTATATACCAATTATTTCATCTCGCAAAGCTGGTCAATAATATTTTTGCTTCATGTTTCTGTTTCATCTTTGGAAGTAGCATCTCTTATCAGAGGTATTAGCTCATATGAAAAAGTGTGAAAATATACTAAGGAAAGAGCAGAATCTGTGGTTGCACTTAAGGTTTGGGTTTTCTGGTACATTCTGAAGAGACAGGTTTAAGGATATAAGTCAGTCTGTCCTGTGGGTCATAAAAATAGAAAGTTTTGTTTACCTGAGAAAGGAAAACAGTGAGAAACCACAAGACTTCCTTAGAGAATATTTTCTTTGAGGGCTAGAAATATTGATGATTCATCAGAGGTGGATCCATTCCTCTTCCATGAGATGAACTATCGCATAAGATAGGTCCCTGTGACTCCCCACCTCCCTTTTACTTTATGACTTATTGAGATGTCTGAGTCATTTTAAAGTCTTAGAGGCCACCTTATAAAAACTTTTGAAGCAGAAGATCAAGTGTGAAGGTTTACACCCCAAACTTTCAGATTTTCAAGCCTTGATACTCTAAAACTCCAGTGGGACATAGGGTTTTTTTCTCTCTCTCTTTTTTCCATTTTCCTCCTCCTTCTCCTTCTCCTCCTCCTTCTACTTTTCTTTCTTTTTTTTTTTTTAAGGTAATTTTAGATAATAAGGAGGGTAAACCTTCTAGGTTTGATCTGTGCTTTTAAGGATTTTTACTGCCACCTTGCTCTATGGACTACAGCTTATATGGAAAATGTCCACATTTTTAAAAATGGAAATACTACATTAACCATGAATCTAGGGTAGAGTGGACTATTGTCCTCCCTAGTGCATGCCAGGGCTCCATTTTATGACATTGGTTTTAAATCCATTTTTATTGAATTACTGTTTATGTGATGTATTTCTTCCGCATGTTTGTCATGGTGAAATTCTTAGTCTGCTGTTCTTTGTAATCACAGATGGAAACCACAGAAATGGAGCCCTTGTATCTTGGTGCCAGAGTCTGTCAGGCAGGGGATAATGGGCAGCAGTGAAGGCTGTGGAAAAGGACTACAAACAAGAGGTAAGGGAATTTTAAAACCGTTTTCCTGTTAAGATGTAATTTTAGATTATGTTATTCTTATACACTATTGCTTATTTTATATTTAAATAATTATGATATTATTGGATTGAATTATTTATACTTACCAGTATTTGAGTTTAAGTTTGGCATTAGGTAATGTTGATATTATACCATCTTTTAACCAAAACCAGCTAGTGTATCTGAGAGTTAATGCAATGGAAGCAGATATCTGTTCTCAGTCGTTTGCATATCTCAATGCTTCTGTTCCAAACACATACTGGACATGATCCAAGGAATGAAGAATATGTCTGTGATTAGACCAACAGTATACATTGCACTTTTAGGTGCTCATTTAATATTTGTGAAATGAATTAAGAGTAATTGAACGAATGGACTAATCTTAATAACCATGACTTAAATGTAATTGTTATAGTTATACTTACTATGTGTTCTATATAATATGCATAGAAAGGAACTATTTAAATCCCTGGAAGACATTGCAAGTAGTCTTCTGGATCAAAGTAGAAGTGCTTTTAATCATCAATGCCTAGGTGTGATATATTGAAATCTCTGAAAAGCACTCAGCCTCATCAGACTGCTCACTTTTCTGTTTCATTCATAATCCAGGTACCAATCAAATGAGGCTTGATAAGAAGTGCTTTATTCTTAAAATCTAACCACTTTGTTGGTAAAGGGAGGTATGTAGCAAAATCAGACCCTGTGGAACCAACTGCATTATACTGGCTTTATAATTTTTTCTAAAAGGCATATTTAGAATTAAGTGTCTCTTCCTGTTGTGTAAGTTAACGTATTGGTCAGGATCAGTCAAGCAAGCCAGCACAATAACTCCCTGCTTTGTCTGTTGATTCAGAGCTGAGAGGAGCTCCCCATGGCCAGGTGGCAGTCTTAACATCCAGGTCAATGGAATCTTATTGTGTCTCCTAATGGAAGCATTGCTTCTTTTGGAACAAAGACCTATAGGGCAGCAAAATATAAGATCACAGGAGACAGGAAGCAAACATTTTACTAGTGCGTCACCAGGGGTTATAGAGAGTTATGCCACTTCTATTCATTCCCTCCACTTGATCTCTGGACCTATGAATCCTGCCTAGGGGGGAAACAGTACCAAAAATCAGGTGCTAATTCAGAGCATATACAGCCTTCTGTAAAACCTTGTGTCAGTCCTGCAAGGTATTGCCACCTAACTGGTATTTTAATTGCGTCTGCAAAAGACCTTTCCACCACTCTGTCAAGCCAGCTGCTTCAGGGTTGTGGGGGACATGGTAAGATCAGTGAATTCCATGAGAATGGGCCCATTGCAACACTTTGTTTGCTGTGAAGTGAGTTCCTTGATCAGAAGCAATGCTATGTGGAATACCATGACTATGGTACAAGGCATTTTGTAAGTCCATGGATGGTAGTTTTGGCAGAAGTATTGTTTGCAGGGAAGGGAAATACATACCTAGGATAAGTATTCCAGTAAGAATAAAGTACTGTCCTAGATCTATGATGGAAGTGGTCCAGTGTAATCAACCTACTACCATGTAGCTAGCTTGCCACTCTTGAGAGTGGTGCCATATTAGGGACTTGGTGTTCCTCCCTGTTGCTGGCATATTGGGCACTCCATGATGGCCACAGTCAGGTTCACATTGGTGAGTGGACGTCCATATTGCTGAGGTTATGAATAACCTCCATTCCGGCCACCATGGCTACTTTGTTCATGAACCCATTTGATGATGATAGGAGCCACTGGAGAAAGAAGGATGACTGAGGTGAATAGTATCCATAGAACAGGTCATCCTATTCATTTGATTATTAGTATATTCCTCTGCTGAAGTCACCCTTTGGTGAACATTCACATGGGACTCAAGTATGTTCACATTTTTCCCCACACAGAGAGGTCTATCTATATAACTCTTACCCAGATTTCCTTGTCGCCACCTTTCCAATCATGTTTCTTTCAAGACCTTGGCCATATAGCAAAACCACTGGCCACAGTCCATGAATCTGTATGTAATCACGTATCTGGCCATTTCTCCTTCCAAGCAAAGTGAACAACGAGGTATACTGCTTTACATTCTATCCACTGAGAAGATTTCTCTTTACCTATCTCTTTCAGGGGTATATCTCAGAAAGGGGCTATAGTGCTATAGCTGTCCATTTGGGAGTTGTGCCTAGATATTGTACAGAACCATCTGTGAGCTAGGCTGGATCCTTCTCTTCTTCCATCAACTGATTTTAGGGAACTCTCCATGTGGCCACACGTACAGGCTGGAAGAGAGCAGGTACTGTAGCAGAAGTAGGGACCATGGACATTTGCCCACTTACTCATGTAACTTACTTATGCCTTCAGGGCCTGCGTGGGCCGAATCATCTATGCACCACTTCCATTTGAAGATGCCTTACACTGTGGCTTGGTAGATTAGGTAACACCCAGTTCATGAAGGCAGCCTGGGTTGCATGATAATTTGGTGGCCCATGATTAAGCCTTCATTCTCTAGCAAGACACAGTATCAGGACAAGCTGTTTTGCAAAGGAGAATAGTTACCTGCAGAGAGTGTCAGGGCTTGCTCCCAGATCCTAGGGACCTGTCCTGAAATTCACTTATAGAAGCCTCTAAAGGCTGCAAACAGTGTTCCTGTCTGCTACTGATACTTGAGTAGCATTGGATCTGCTGGATCATATGGCCTAAGTGGCAAAACAGTATGCACAGCAGCCTGGATTGTTATAGAGATTTTTCTCATTCTGGGACCTGCTTAAAACTAGCAGCTTGTTGGGTCTCTTGGTAAATAGGCTGGACTAACACACTTGAATAAGGAATACGTTTCCTCCAAAATCCAAACAGGCCCACTAGGTGTTGTGCCTAGTTTTGGTTGCAGGAGGGGCCAGATGCAAAAACTTATTCATTGCTTAAAGGGATATCCTCACATGCCCCACACCACTGAACCTCTAAAAATTTCCCTGGGGTAGAAGGCGCCTGAGTTTTTTCAGATTTATTTCTTGCTCTCTTACCAAAATGCCTACAGTAGTTGCTACTTCTTGCTCACTGGATCCATTCAGAATAATGTCATTAATATAATGGGCTAGTATGCTATCTGATTGAAGGAAAAGACAATCAAGATCCCCACAGAACTAAATTATGAAATAGGGCTGGAGAGTCAATATACCCCTGAGGTAGGAGAGTAATGTGTATTGCTGGCCTTACCACCAAAGAGCAAGCTGATTTTGGTGGTCTTTATTATCTTCAAACATAGTAATATGTGGGGTTAAGGCTTTGACATAGGAATTTTGGGTCACTTCAGTTTATAACAATTACCCTTTGGAAATGATGTCCCTCTCAGAACATTTATACATGTGAATTTGATTGGCAAGTTAGTTTCATTCAGGACTTCTATGAGGCTAGATAGTGACTGTAAATTAAGGGAAGAGACCACCTCCTTAAAACATTTTACTTCCATATGTCAGAATATTGTTATAATAATATGATCTTGTAATTATAAGACCTTGACTACTTTCTATTGGAAAATTGTTATATCTAGATCAACAATATCTCTAGGAATGAAGTTCTTTAAAAATGGCACTTTTGTGTGGTGCATGACTTAATTCCATATGGTGGCCTAGACTTTGACACTTTGATACTAGCGTATCATAATGGTTGGTTTTCATTGCAAAACCATTTAGTAATTTCTGAGATGTTGCTCCTAAATTATGTGGAATCTTATCACATAAATGGCAAATTATTTTATCTTAGAATAATTTTACTTTGGATTTCAATTTAAACAGATTCTAGCTGGAAACCTCATAGTCCCTTAGACTAGGCAAGTGATCCCCTTGAGTTTTCTCTAAATTAGACACCAATATTAGAGAATTCCTAGTGTTTTTCTGTTGGGAAATTTGTACTTTTAAAGTAGTGGCCTGGGTCTCCAATTTTAAGATGTGAAGTAAAGACATTTCTACTCCATCTTTTCTCTAAAATTACTTCAAAACCAGTGAGGAAGATGTGAAACAATAAGAAAAAAATAATGTCCAATGAGATCTCTTTTATAAAATTGCTCCAGAGAACAAGAAGCACATTAACCTCACCTTCAAGAAAATGAGGAGTCATCTGTAACCTCAGTCACAATATGTTTTAGAAAGTGAGTGGAGATACAGTAAAGGACTTTGCAGAACAAGATTATGCCAAAGTGTTGGCAGGGGTGAAGGTGTGGGGGCTGAAGAGAAACAAAGTGATTTGTCCTGGAGAACTCCAGAAAGTTAGCACATTCTGCAGAAGGAAGTATGCAAGTGTGTGTGTGTGTGTGTGTGTGTGTGTGTGTGTGTGTGTGTGTGTTAGGGGTGGGAGCAAAACAGGGGCTTTTGGAAGTCTGATTAAAAACGGTGAGCAGTGTCATCCCTTTTCCTATTCTTCTGGGAGCTTAGAGGTTTATTCTCTGGGGATATAAAACCAGAGGCATTATGTACTTTGGACAACTGGTAGAGAATGGAGATGAAGGCCTAGCCTCAAATCAGGAGGATCAAAAAAAAGTGCAAATAAAGAATTAAGAGACCATCAGTTCCCTTCTTTCACCTGCTTTAGCATGCTAGCCAGGTGGCTTTTATACTTTTCAGTTCTATGGATGCCCTATCAATTTAAAAACACCATAAATTTAAATTTCTCTTTGAGGAGTTTTTGAATCACAGAGGGAGCATGAATTTAGACCATAAAATCATGGAAAGGCCAGCTTGGGCTTATAAATTCTCACAAGAGATTTTTCCCTCCCCTCACCATCCAGTGTTCAGTCTTTGATATGCAAGTGGACATAGACAGGAGTATACCAGATGCAGAGTGGGTATTGGAGACTGCAGTTGTCCTGTCTAGGATATCGTTGACTTCTGTGATGTACCTATATTATTCTTTAGTTTGTTTTCACTGAGCAATGTTTATGTGGACCAATGGAGGCAGAACTCTATCTTGGTCAGATCTTTTTGTTCTTCCTTAATTGGTTTTTGTCCCTGTGAGA